CTCTCTCTCTCTCTCTCTCTCTCCACCACCACATCCCCACTCGGCAATCAGGCGCATGCACTATTGATTATCAATCATCGAGCGCTTGGATCATTCTAGTTGGAAGGCAGGTTGGCATCCTCGGCGACCAGGCCCTCGGCAGGCCACAGCCACCCAAACTTGTCCTCCTGGTCGCCGCACTGGTACGAGGTGAGCTCGTCAAACAGCCTACGCGCGCACTCGCCCGCCGTCTTGCCGTCGCCAAACTCGATGCGCTCCACCTCGTTTTCGGCGGGCAAGGTGTACTTGGGTCCCTCGGGCGACAGCTTCTCGTGCTGCAGCTGCGGCTTGTGCGAGTTGTACGAGAGCGATCGGACGGGCGTGATGCCGGCCGCGGTACCTGCCGCCATCAACTCGCCAAACCTGTTCTGCTTGAGCTCGTCGAACGCCACCTGGCGCAGCTCCACCTTCCAGCCGCACAGCTTCTCGGCGATCTCCACCACGCTCAGCTTGGTCACCGAGCGCAGGATCGACGTGCTCTCCGGCACCACCAGCGTCGTCTCCGTGCCCTGCTTCTGCACGGCGAGCGCGTTCGAGGTGGAAAACTCGTCGACGTACGTGTGCGTCGCCGAGTCGAGGTGCAGCGTGATCGCATAGCCCTGCTTCTTGGCCGCAGCCGTAGGCGCAAACACGGGCGCATAGTTGCCGCCCAGCTTCGTGTGGCCCGTACCCATGGGTGCAGTGCGGTCAAACGTGTCGAGCACAAATCCGTCCACAGCAGGGATCTCGGCACCGCTGCCGTAGAGCGACCCAACGGGCGTGACCCACACGAGAAACGTAAACTCGTCCGGACTGCCCAGCAGCAGATTCGGTCCCGTGGCAAGCAGCAGAGGTCGGATGTACAGCGCACCCCCCGATGCGTTCTTCTGGTACGGCGGCACATACTCGAGGTTCATCGCAACCGCCACCTTGATCGCCTCCAGGAACACCTCCTGCGGCAGCTCGGGCATCGACGCCATGCGTGCGCTCAGGTTCATGCGCACCCAGTTCTCCTGCGGTCGGAAGACGCGCACGGATCCCGTCGCCGATCGGAACGCCTTGATGCCTTCAAACGCCTGCTGGCCGTAGTTGAGGCAGGGCGCAGCTGCGTGCACGTTGATGTGGCTCTCCTTTTGGATCTCGATGCTGCCCCACTGGCCGTCCTTCCAGGTGACGCGCACAAGGCCGTTCACATCGCGCTCCTTGAACCCGAGTCGTGCCCAGTCCACCGACTGCGAGGGTGCCGTGGCGATACGTCCGTTGCTCGACGACATTGCTAGCGAAAAACGTGGAGCGGCAGTTTGGATCGAGGTGAGTGGGAGGATGGTGGTGCTCAACAAGAAGCCGGAGCTGCGTGCGCAACCCACAAATTAACCGGACATCGATGACTCGGACGGGCATCCAAAGCCGAATCGACTCGACTCGACTCGACTCGACGCTTTCCCGCAATGCCCCACCGCAGGAGTCGCAATTTGTTGTATACTTAGGCCTAACAACGTGTCGAGTTCGCGCTCAGACCAACTGCGACTTTGCTGTCCAACACGCAATTCTTCACCTCCTCCTCCTCCACCGCCACCACCACCACCACCCCAACACCTGCACCCACGGCCTCCCTGGCAGCGGCAGCGTGAGTACAACGCTGCTGCCCGCCAAAGCCACCACCACCATGGCTTCGCCTGCACAGGTTCTCGCAGACCTCCTCTCCAAGGCGCGCCTTTCGCTCCACATCCCCGCCTCGCCCACCTCCTCCAAATCGCTCGTCTACTTTGACGAGATACTCAACGTTGAGATCGTCCTCTCCTTTCCCACAGATCCGCTTCTGCCACCAGCGCGTACCGCTTCCTCGCATCAGCTGCCTCTTCCCTCGCTGCCCTCGCCTTCCCAGCCGCACAGCGACGACATCCCCGCATACCTCGGCGCCCTTCTTGCCTGCCTCCACGTCAACCTAGCCACAGACTACGTGCCCGAGTCTTCGTCCGAGTCCGCAATCGCTCAATCCAAGTCCACCAACCCATACGAGCCGCTCTCCACCGTCCAGCTTGGCTTCGAGCATCTTCAGCTCCTGCCTTCGCACGCCACACACTCCAACCCCGCAAGCGCAGCCCACGCCGCCGTCCGCGCCTTCTCCATTTCGTGGGCGGGCAATCAGCCTCCACAGCCCCATCGTACGCTTAGGGACTCGCCAGACTCGTCCACCACAGCCTCCCATCGCGCTCATCTCGATCACGATACCCGCAACTGGAATGTTCATTGGCACTGCCGCGTGCCCGTCAACTTTGTCGCCACGCCGTTTGCGCCGTTACTAGCCGTCACGGCCGCGCTTACCTTACGGCTCGATGGCGCTATCCTGGAGCATCACCTTCCGGCAAACACCTCGCGCAAGTTTGTTCGAGCCGGTTTCTCGCACTCGCTGCTCGCGCCGCTGCACGAGGGGCCCGTGTATCCGGACGAATCGCCCACCCAAAGCCAAGCACGTGCAACAGCCTCGGCTGCACTCGGGCTCGACGGGCCCAACGGTCTCGGATCCTTCCTCGCCCACCTACCCAAGGAGACTGTTGGTGGCAACAACTCGGTAGTCACCCCCCGCTCAGGGGCGGCGGCACTGAGCTCGATCCATCAACGGCGCAACCAGGCGCTGTCTCCCGTGCTTGCCGATGCGCAGCAGTCGTCCACAAGAGCCGACGGCAACGGCGATCTGGCCGCGCTCTCGGCTGGCACCCAAATCGGCTCAGCAGCCGCGCGGCATGCAGGCCAAGCTGGAGCGCAAGACAAGGCGGGTCTGCACATCTACAAGCGCAGCACGCGCGCGATCCTGCCGCTCAAGACGGGTCTCAATGTGCGTATGCGCACGCTCCTCACTCAGCACAATCCTGGACTTGGACGTCGCCATCGAGATGCAGAGGAGATGCAGAGCAGCAGGCTCGTGCTGTGCGTCGAGCTCGAAAACCCACTCGAGTCGCCGTCCGAGTTTGTGGTCAACGATATCCTCATCAAGATCGAGCAGCACAGCCAAGCGGGTAAGGTGAGCGCCACGCCTCTGCATGCGCTTGCCAGCGTGCTGCCCATCCATCTCGACCCAGGCAGCCAGCACAACCTGCTCTTCTACGTCGCAGCCGATCCCAAGTCAAACGCTCTCGAAGGTGTGGTGTCAAAGATGGCGACGCGGAACGTCAACATCACCATCAGTGGAAGGCCAAGCGGTACGAATGACGACTTTGACTCGCAGTGGAACTGCAACCTTGAACTCAGCTCCGTGCTGGCCGATACGGCCAAGGTGGCTGGGATTGCAAATGCGGCAAGACCGGCAAGGGAGAGACCGAGCCAGGTCGGACAGGTGGCGGGAACTCCGCAGTACTCGGCATCGGCTCTGCGTGACACACACACGGG